GAAGGAAGGAAGGAAGGAAGGAAGGAAGGAAGGAAGGAAGGAAGGAATTCAGCTAGAAGGAAGAAGGAAGGAAGGAAGGGAGGGAGGGAGGGAGGGAGGGAGGGAGGGAGGAAGGAAGGCATAGTGGCAGAGTGGTTACAATGCAGTGTTTCAGGCTAACTCTGCCCACTGCCAGGAGTTCAATCAAGGTTGACTCAGTTTTCCATCCTTCCAAGGTGGGTAAAATGAGGACCCAGATTGTTGGAGGCAAGAGGCTGACTCCGTAAACCTCTTGGAGAGGGCTGTAAAGCACGGTGAAATGGTATATAATTCTAAGTGCTATTGCTATAGTTTGAGTCTTTAATGTCATCCACAAAATATCTATTGGTTTTTTTATTAACAGAGAATGGATGGATCTGACTTCTTCGGACATTATATGGGGTCTTTCTGATCCTGGCTGGATAAAATTTGCCATTGGATCTTTCTACTCTCCTTGGAGCCAAGGATCGTGTATATTTCAACATGGTTTTCTCCAGTTTGATCCCAAAGTAGTTCTGGAGGTAAGAACCCGGGTGCCCTTAAGTCCCGTACAGATAGACAATGATATCACCCCCAAAGATATGTATAATGGCTGATTAACACTCCCAAATTGTCTGAAAAAGTTTACGGCTTTCTTCATTACAATTCGAACTTGAGAAAAATCAGTATCCACTCTATATCCATACCTCCCCTGTTCATGGAGATTTTCAATCACCCAGGTTGTAGTTCTCCCAGAATTATTAACTTATTTATGTTTGTAGTTTACATAGTTTGTATCTTTTGTGATTGTAAGCCACCAGAATTACCTTGAGGTAAGATGGGTGGCCCAGAAGTGTTATTCAGCAGGTTCTGACCGGTTCTGGAGAACTGCTAGCGAAAATTTTGAATAGTTCGGAGAACCGGCAAATCCCACCTCAGACTGGCCCCGCCCCAGTCTATTCTCCGCCTCCCATGGAGTCCCAGCTGATTGGCTGGGTCTTCTTTGGTTGCCCTGCACAGGAGAACGGAGCTGGAAAGCAGGTTAGTGGGGTGAGGAGGGAATGGGATTTTGCAGTAACCTTCACCTGCAGTGAGGTGGGAATGAAAATTTTATCATATCCTTCCCCTGTCATGTTCACAAAGCTATGCACTCAGAACTGGTAGTAAAATTTTTTGAATGGCCTATAGATTTTATAAACAAGCATGGTGTACACTAGTATCTAAAACAGAGTTATAAGGGAACCCTACAAGGGTTGGTTATTTGTTTATGCATTACTCAATTAACATGTCTCTATGCCAACTACCAAATCTCACTCAATGGTATTAAATGTGGCTTCCTCCCTTTTACTCAGTCTCTTGCCAAGTATCCGGTGACAACCTTTTGTGGCACACCGACCATATTTCGGATGCTGCTCCAACACAACCCTAGCAGGTACAACTCATTTACATAAGAAGGACACCATTTTGTGGTGCTTTAGCTCTTGTGTAATTCTGTATCACTTTTGGAAGATGTGAAGGACTGGAATGGGGACAAATTATCCCAGAGAAGATCTATCTATGTCAGAGGTGGGGAACGATGGCTCCTCTATGGCTTGTGGTGTGATGACCCAAAGGGGCGTGGCACAAAGGCAACACAGTCAGATAAGCAATAAGAATCCCTTCATTATCTCCAACTTTGCCCTCAATGTCCTGGTTACCTTTTGGCTGGAGAAAAACTCTCCCGGGAACAGCCTTTGGCTGCAGAAAATTAAGTCCAAAACATGAGCAACACAAACTGTAACTTAAAATCCAAACAAGCCAAACTGAAGTAGTTAGTTTGGAAGAGTAGGAGCAAGAATGTCAGACTTGAAGGCACGGCAAAACTCGCATGGTTGAGAAGACGCCAGGAACACAGATAAGGATAAAGTCACATTTGCTCCCAGCAGCCTGACTCACGCAGCTGACTTTCTTATCAACTGTCATCCCAGCTGTGGCTAATGAAGGGAATCAGGGCCTTTTCCTCCCCTGTAAGCTATGTTGCTCCCTTTTCCGTTCCTCCCTACGTTCCCTAGGATGAAGAGGGGGTGGGCCTGGTTCTTCCTCTGAACCCCCTCTCCCTTGCTCTTCCTCTCCCCTGCTCTGCCCAGCTGGACTTTGCCCTTCCCCAGTCTCCTGCACAGCCAACAGAGCCACACTCCCACTCCCTGTCAACTGCTCAGCTTCCTACTCGGATTCAGACTCTGACAGGGACATGACACATGGACTTCAAATCCCAGAGCATGCCTGACTGAGGAATTCTGGGAATTGGAGTCCACAAGTCATAGAGCGGCCATCTTTTCCCATTTCTGATCTATGGTGTTGCTAAGAAATGACACCAACTTAATGGCATGTAAGAATAGTTCTTGACTTACAATCCCAATGGAGCCCAACATTTCTGTTGCTAAGGGAGACATTTGTTCAGTGAATTTTGTCCCATTTCACAACCTTCCATGCCACCGTTTGTTAAGTGAATCACTGCAATTGTTAAATTAGTAACATGACCGTGAAGTGAATCCCCATTGATTTTGCTGGTTAAAATGTCGTAAAAGAGGCTCCGGGACACTGCCACCGTCATAAATACAAGTCCGTTGCCAAGCATGTGAATTTTGATCACATGCTGCAACAGTTGTAAGTGTGAAAAATGGTTGTAAGCCTCTTTTTCCAGTGCCCTTCAAACGGTCACAATGAACTGCTGTAAGTCGAGGACTGTCTGTAATTAATCCAAGCAATCCCTTCTTCATATTTTGGAGACTCCTTGGAGATCCCTTCTCCAAAGAACATTGCTTTCTCCTTCTCTTCATTCAGGTATACGTTCAAGAGTCTGCACACCTGCTTGGGTGGCGGAGAACCATGTAACCTAGACGTGCTCAAAGAGTGGAAGGAAGAAACTGGATTCGATATCGGGGAAGGCTACGGGCAGACAGAAAGTGTAAGTTTGCAACCAGTTGGGTCTTTAATATAAATGTTCAGGGTGAAAAAGCGCGCAACACAAATGTATGGAATTTTCCCAGACTCAACTCAGCTGAGAGCCTGGCTTCAGTCCACAAAGCCAGCAGGTAAGCATGTAGGCACTTGTGTCAGAAGCACCGAGGTCCTTCTGGGTTGAAAAGATTAGCCCGTGACTGTTCTGACCAAGGCTTCCTGAGACACCAACAAACACACATAAAAATCCAAAACTCCCTTATTTTAGCCTCGGTGACGCAGTGGTTAGAGTGCAGTACTGCAAGTTACTCCTACTGCAATTTGGCAGATCGAATCCCACCAGGCTCAAGGTTGACTCAGCCTTCCCTCCTTCCCTGGTGGGTCAAATGAGGACCCAGATTGTTGGGGGCAAGAGGTTGACTCTGTAAAGTGCTTAGAGAGGGCTGCAAAGCTCTGTGAAGCTTTATATAAGGCTAAGTGCTATTGCTATTGCCCTTCCTTCCTTCCTTCCTTCCTTCCTTCCTTCCTTCCTTCCTTCCTTCCTTCCTTCCTTCCTTCCTTCCTTCCTTCCTTCCTTCCTTCCCTCCTTCCTTTCATCTGTAGTGCGCAGTGGGTAGAATGCAGCATTGCAAACTAAGTCTGCCCACTGCCAGGAGTTTGATCCCAACCGGCTCAAGGTTGACTCTGCCTTCCATTCTTCCCTGGTGGGTAAAATGAGGACCCAGATTGTTGAGGGCAAGAGGCTGACTCTATAAACCGCTTAGAGAGGGCTGGAAAGCACCATGAAGCGGTATATAAGTCTAAGGGCTATTGCTATTAATTGCACTCTCTATAATTTGTCCTCACAGTCCTTGCTATGCAGCAGCAGAAAAGGACTGAAAATTAAACCTGGATTCATTGGAAAACCTCTTTCTGGCGTTGATGTCCGGGTAAGTCCATTTTGTCATGGACATCGTCAATGCAGGTAGTCCTCAACTTACAACAGCTTGTTTACAACAGTGGCCTTTCGTAGTTACAATTGCCCTGAGAAAAGGCAACTTTAGGACCGTTTTCCACTCTTAACAACCATGGCAGCATCCCTGTTGCTCACGTGATCAAAGTTCAGATGCTTGACAACTGATAACAGATAATCCGAGTTGGAAGGAACCTTGTAGGTCATCTAGTCTAACCCCCTGCCCAAGCAGGAGACCTAACATCATTTCTGACAGATGGCAGTCCAACCTCTTCTTGAAGGTTTCAAGTGATGGCACTCCCACAACTTCTGAGGGCAACTTCTGTTTCATGGGTTGATTGTCCTTCCTGTCATAAAGTTTCTCCTTATTTCCAGGTTGAATCTCTCCTTGTTCAGTTTCCATCCATTATTCCTTGTCTGGCCTTCGGGTGCCTTGGAGAATAACTTGACCCCCTCCTCCTCTCTGTGGCAGCCCCTCAAATATTGGAAGGCTGCTGTCCTGTCTCCCCTGGTCCTTCTCTTCCCTAGACTAGCCATGATTCATGTTTACAATAGTTGCTGCACCTCGGGGTCATGTGATTCCTTTTTTTGTGACCTTCTGACAAGCAATGAAAATGGAGGAGACGTAGGCTCACTTAACAACAATGTTATGAAGTTCACAGCCGCAGTGATCCGCTTAACAATGGTGGCAAGAACGATTGTAAAACAGGGTGAAACTCACTTACCAAATTGCAGACTTAACCATGGATATTTGGGGTTTGATTGTGGTCATAAGTCAAGGACTACCTGAATTATAAGGTGGGATAATTCCTTGGCATAGCATAAACTAATCCCATGAGAATTGTACATTACAATGAATCTGCTAGCCAAGGAGGTCCCGTCGGGGGGGAAAACACCAAAAGGGAATCCATGAATGACCATTTCTTTCTAGATCATTGATGAAAATAACAATTGTCTTCCTCCTGGAGAAGAAGGAGACATCGCCGTGAAGATCAAGCCACGAAGGCCTGTGGGACTTTTCAGTGGTTATGTGGTAAGGAAGAACCCCCTCAAACAACTGAGCAAAATTCAAGAAGTAGAGGAGTTTAGGGGTGACAGCACCAGCCATTGTCCCTCAGCCCTAGTAATGATCAGGGAGAACCTACAGAAATGACCAAGGATGAAGCTTCAAATGAAACTTCAGTCCTTCTCAGTTCCCAAAGTGAAAGTTGGAAAGCTACAACAAAGGTGACAATTGTTGGTTCCAAAGACCACTCCACACCAATTCACTTTGGGCGAATCAGTGATGTTAGGGTGAACATAGGGAGATTGTATCTAATTGGATAATTGCTGACCAATGACAAACTTCAAAAATTTTGAACAGAGATGGTTGAGAACATGATAGATAGACAGACAGACAGACAGACAGACAGACAGACAGACAGACAGATGATAGAATTCTTTATTGGCCAAGTGTGATTGGACACCCAAGGAATTTGTCTTGGTGCAAATGCTCTCAGTGTACATAAAAGAAAAGATACATTCATCAAGGGTCAAGAATCATCAGGCACAACATTTAATAATAGTCATAGGGTACAATAAGCAATCAAATCAAACTAGGAAACAGTCAATATAAATCATAAGGATACAAGCAACAAAGTTATAGTCATAGAGTCATAAGTAGGAGAGATGGGAAAGGAAGGATGGGAGGATTAATAGTAATAGTAATAATAATGCAGACTTAGTAAATAGTTTGACAGTGTTGAGGGAATTATTTGTTTAGCAGAGCAATGGCGTTCAGGAAAAAACTGTCTAATTGTTCTGGTGTGCAGGGCTCTATAGCATCATTCTGAGGGAGTTGAAACAATTTATGTCCAGGATGTGAGGGGTCTGTAAATATTTTCACAGCCCTCTTTTTGGCTCATGCAGTATATAGGTCCTCAATGAAAGGCAGGTTGGTAGTAATTGTTTTTTTCTGCACTACTAATTACCCTCTGAAATCTGTGTCTGCCTTGTTGGGTTGCAGAACCAAAGCAGTTTGCGATCCTGTGGGTTTCAGCAAACTGAATTATGAGGCTAGGGCCCATGCACACCCTATGGAGTTTCTACCCTGTGATAGTCCAGTAATGGATCACATTCACAAGTGTAGCCTCACTCGATGTTTGCAGCCACCCAGCAGAGAATGTGAAATGTGGATTGCCTGCTTCTTTACCCTTAGAACGATCCAGAAAAAACTGCCGCTACAGAACGTGGAGACTACTACATCACTGGAGACAGAGGTCTCATGGATGAAGATGGATACGTCCAGTTCATTGCAAGAGCAGACGATATCATCCTGTCTTCTGGGTAGACTTTGTTTGCTAATGCTTTGCAAGATATCCAAAATGCTTAACGCCAACAATGGCAATGCAAAATCTGAGGTGCATTCATAGGCCAGCTACTCAATCCTGTACCACAATGACAAACTATCATCCCCAAACACACACATACACACACCCCATGCACACAGAGAGAGAGAGAGAGAGAGAGATTCCATCAACATGAATAAAATCAAAACTCATGGAAATGAGGTTAACAATTCCATCAGCACCTTTAAAACATTTCCATCAATGAATTGAAATTTTGAGGTCTCCAAGGTGTTTACTGAGATTGGCTCTTTCCATTCAGTGATCTTCCAATTTCCATGTTCTACTTTTTATGCATGCTCAGAGATACTTTGGCTCCTTCAACTGAAGCATAAAAGCAAATTCTTGGTAAATACATCAGACACAATAACTTGCCAAAATCAAATGCTTCCCGTTAAGTTTGGGAAGCAATTAAGTATTTGAATTCTATGTCCTAGTACCCATTAACCTTTGGTCTATCAACATCTGGACAGCCACCAAGTGCAGCGACTCTTCAGAGACCAAACTGGAGCTTTTAGCCTTCAACCTGCAGAGTCTCCCTTGATTAACAGTATTCTCCTATTTAGATATCGCATTGGTCCATTTGAAGTGGAGTACGCTTTGATGAAACACCCTGCAGTAGCTGAAGCCGCTGTTGTTAGCAGCCCAGATCCCATCAGAGGAGAGGTAAAGTGCCCATAATGCTGTGTGTTGGGTCCAACAAGGGTTTAGAACATAATCACTCCAGGTCACCTAATTGCTGAGATTTCAGTTTTCGTGGTCAGTTGTCCTTGACTTCTGTAGTTTCTCAGTCAAGAAAAGGCTTCAGAAAGGGCTACTCCATAGTCCACATTATGAAGGGGTCGAGATCACCTCTCACAAGGCTTATGCTGAACCTAGGAAGTTATGATGCAACGGATCTCTTCTTCAGTGCTATTTTAATCTATGAAGCTCTCCGGGGTCCTGAAAATGACCAAATCTAGTTTCTTAGTCACACAGTCAACCAGATGGGTTAGACTGGATTTGACATTTTGACCCATCTCTTGTATCCTTCCTAAAAATCTGAGATAAGCAGGTGTTGGTGTTTGATGGTGTTAGAGGCCTAGTTGCAAGATGTAAGCTGTTTTGAGTAAAGTTTGCCTTTTGCAATTGATTGGTGGTGGTTATGTCAACACCGACGGTATTCAAGGAATGGCCTGGTTGTTTGGGATTGCACCCAGGGTATCTATCACTATTGGTATTATCATCATTATTGTCACTAATGTTATTATTAAGAGTTCATCCTATAGTGCCAGAAAGCTAACTTTGCACAAATCTTCAAAGCCGTTGCTAATTCTACTAGCAATGCTAATATTCCATTGCTATTATTAATTATTATTAATAATAATATTAACTCTTGCTAATAATAATACTGCCATGGTGAATAGGCGGCAATATAAATTCAATCAAATAAATAAATAAATAACTCATCTTCTTTTTTACCCTGACTTGGCTGTAGGTGGTAAAAGCTTTTATCATCCTAACACCTGCCTACCAATCACAAGACCAAGAGAAATTAAGTTTGGAGCTGCAAGGACACGTGAAGAAAATGACAGCTCCATATAAGTACCCCAGAAAGGTGAGTACTTGGCACAACAAGAGGCTCAAGTCTTGTTTGGCTTCAACCACTGATAGGATCTTGAAGGTTGCTGAAATGATGCCATCTCCAAGGTCACTCTGGCTAAAGTCTGAGTGGCTGGGCTAATTCCTCCTGCTCATGAAAAAAATACAATCAGATAAGAGACAGCTGTGCCCACAGAAGGTGTGGGGTACCGCACAAAGGCAACACAGTCAAATAAGCAAGAAGAGTCGTTTTATTATCTCCAACTTTGCCCCCCGCCCCCCATGTCCAGGTTACCTTCGACTGGAGAAAAACTCTCCCAGGAACAGTCTTTAAGTGGAGGAAATTCAGTCCGAAAACAAAATACATACAAACTTTAACTAAAAATCCAAACAAACCACTCTGCAGTAATTAACTTGACAGGGCAGGAGAAGGAATTGCAGACTTGAAAAGCCAGCAAAACACACACAGTTGGGAAGACGGCAGGAACACAGATAAGCCTCGACAATACAAGATAATTCACGATATGCTCCCAACAACTTGCTGTGCACAGCTTCCCTTTTTAAACACTGTGTTCCCAGCTGCAGCTAATGAAGGGAATCAGGGCCCTTTCCTCTCCCATAAGCCACACAACCCACGTTGCTCCCTTGTCCATTCCTCCCTGCGTGCCCTAGGATGAAGAGTGGGTGGGCCTGGGTCTTCTTCCGAATTCCCTCTCCCTTGCTCTACCTCTCCCCTGCTCTGCCTAGCTGGGCTTTAACCTTCCCCAGTTTCCTCTACAGCCAACAGAGCCACACTCTCACTCCCTGTCAGCTGCTTGGCCTCCTCTGAATCAGATTCCAACATGACAGAAGAAATGACAGAAGAAATGAAGTGTAGCAAACATCTCAGAAGAGATTCTTAGGCTGTAAAGGCGAGGGATACTTTTAGACTTGCAAAGTTTTGTTAATGCAGCTTTAAACAACTAGTATTCCTAGTTTTCTTGTTTAGAGTCTACCTTGAAGGGCTGACAGTTTTTTCTCTCTCTTTTTTTTTTTTAAAAAAAATACAATGCATTCTGTTTTCATTAGATCGAGTTTGTTCAAGACCTACCCAAAACCATTTCTGGAAAAATCAAAAAGAGATTGCTGAGAAAAAAAGAATGGGAGACAGCCTAATGGACTCTGGAGCTAATTATGGACTTGGGGAGATTTTCTTTGTGTTGTTTTACTTTTGTAATGTGGCCAGAATCAGCGATGAGATCAGCGATCAGCTGGTGACTTTGGGCGATTAATAGGAGACGGTGAGTTCTAGTCCCGCCTTAGGCATTTATAAAAGCAGCTGGGTGCCTTTGGGTCAGTCCCTCTCTCTCAGCCCAACTCACTTCACAGGGTTGTTGTTGTTGTGGGGAACAATAGGAGGAGGAAATTGTGTGGGATATGTTCTCCGCCTCGACTTCTTTGTAAAAATAATACAAATAAATAAATATTTAATAAATAAATACACTTAGGGACCAGACGATTTACCATCTAGAAAAGGATGGGCAATGCAGCCCATCATCTTCTTTTAATGACCCCATAATCCCTTGCAGGCTGGAGTCTGGGAAGCTGAATGGAGCTAGCAGACCGTTTAATGGCCAGATGCCCTTCCTGTCACCAGTATGGTGTTTTGTTCAGCAGATATATGGGGCAACTCAGCCCATATTAGCCTCAAATCCCTTTCTTTTGCAGTTCTCGACTGCCCACCAACACCAACACTCCCCCCCACACACAGAGCACCTTGTGAAATTTGGAAGGACCATTTTCCTTCTCTCTTGATCCACCAAAGGATGTGAACTCGCTTGATATGGATAACAGCAACACAAAATCCCCAATCCCTACCTAGAAAGATTCTCTAATCTGATCCAACTTTTGCTGTGACACATTGACACTGTTATGTCTCCAAACTTCACAGAAACTCAGCTAGGGGCTCTTCCAAACCCCAGCAAAACCCCAGCAGCCCACGCCTGTATCCCACCGGTCATGCGGAAGATCCTATGCAATTTTGGCCGTGGTTTGCCCTCCAAACTTGTTCCAATTTAGCGTCTGAACATTTCATTATCAGCCTAGGTCACATCAACAGCAGGATTTTCTTGTCCTGTTCCTCTTTAGATTATAAACGTCCTGTGTATACAATTATCAATTATACCCTCTACAATTTCAACAAACGGTTGCCAGTTAGAAAAATTAATACCTCCGTCTGGAAGGTGGGATATCGAATTTCGAAAGCATCTCAAATGCCCAATTTGCTGTTCTGTATCCCCGTAAGCAAACGGAAATGGCTTTTTCCATGTAAATTTTTTTCACTCTATCGTACCTTAAAATGAAGAGCAATTTTCCCAGGAAAAGGAATTTTTCCCCATTGGAGACTTGGCTATGTTTCTCTGCAGGAAACCCACACTTGGTGGAGCATATTATCGCTGCGTTTGGGAAATTGATTAAGTTACAAAGCGATCAGTTTCGGAGGGGGTGTGGAATTAATTGGAGTGCAAACAAACACTCCAATGCTCCCCAAAGGAACCAGCATTGTCCCCTAGGTGTGTTTTAAATACCTCAATAATCTCAGGTTTGGAAGGGAAGAATAGTTCGCTTCTCCAATGGCTAAGTAGTTAATTGCTTCTGAGAAAAAAACAGATTACCTCTTTGCACCTGGGGAAAAGGATTCTGACTCTCAGCGCAGAGAAACCCTGGGCTTTGATCCTTTCTCTAGAATCCAGGTAATCCTCAACTTATGACCACAATGGAGAGCAGAATTTAGGTTGCTAAGCGATGCAGTCATTGAAAGGACCCGAGTTTCCAACGGTTTTTACTGCAGTTGTTCAGCAAATCAGGCCATCGTCGAGCGAGCCAGAGATAGTCCTTGACTTAGGGACGACAAGTGAGGCCAGTATGTAAGTGACGTTAAGCGATGCGGTCATTAAAGGGCTGGTCACATGAGGAGACCCCAATTTTACAACCATTTCTACGCACTGTTGGTTTGCTAAGCAAATCCTGCTATTGTTCAGTGAACAACGTGGCTGGTAAGTGAACAGGCTTTCTCCATTGTGTTTGCTTGTTGGAAGCCAATTGGGAAGTCGCAAATCAGGATCACAAGATCACGAAACACCACAACCGTCGTAAATGCGAGCCAGTGGCCAAGTGCCCAAATCCCAACCATGTGACGCAGGAGTATTTGGGTCAGTTGTAACTTTGAGAAAAGGTCCTTGGTGCCTTTTCCATCTCTGTTGTAACTCTGAACTGTGATTGAACAAATAGTGGTAAGTTAAGGACTACCTGTAGACATGTACACTTAGTCCTGGACTTACGACCGAAATTGATGTTGCTAAGTGAGGCTGAAATGAGTTTGGTCCCGTTTTACAACCTTTCTTGACTCCGTTGTTAGGTGAATCACTGCAGTTGCTAAGGTAGTAACAGGGTTGACCCCAAAGGTGCTTTTTCAAGTGGCAACTGGACTGGTTTTTCTTTGAAGACATTTTGATTCTCCTCTAAGAAGATTCTTCAGCTCTATTAACCCCCTAGTAACAGAGTTTGTTAGAGACACGGTGGCTCAGTGGCTAAGACACTGAGCTTGTTGATCAGAAAAGTCGGCGGTTCGAATCCCTAGCGCCGCATCACAGAGCGAGCTCCCGTTCCTTGTCCCAGCTTCTACCAACCGATCAGTTCGAAAGCATGTAAAAAATGCAAGTAAAAAACAGGTACCCCTTTGGTGGGTAGATAACAGTGTTCTGTGCACCTTCGGCATTTAGTCCTGCTGGACACATGACCACGGAGACGTCTTCGGACAGCGCTGGCTCTTCGGCTTTGTTAACGGAAATGAACACCGCCCCACCCTAGAGCCGGAAACGACTAGCACAGATGTGCGAGGGGAATCTTTACCTTCACCTTTAACAGGGGCTGTTATGTGAATCCAGTTTCCCCATTCACTTTCCTCGTCAGAAGTCCACAAGTCTTAAAGTTGCCAAGTTTGGAGACCTCTGTACCTAAACCTCTGTACCAACTCTTTTGTTCAAGCACATGGCCTTTTACACATATTTGACTTGGCGGGTTTGCTTCCTCAGTCTTGGTGCAGGGATGCACCTAGCCATGGCAGAATTTGGAGGGGAAAAAAGGGGAGAGGCTCATAAAAAGGAAAGCACTATTCCTAAGACCTAATAATAATAAAATGCAATTTAATTTGCTTGAAGAGCAAGGAGACACTATCCTGCCAGCATAAGTCTACTCTGCACGAAATCGCAGCCGAAAGGGGGACAAAGGAGAATGCCACGCCTACAGGAAGACCAATTTCATTGCAATGAGTCACCTCTAATGAGTTCCCCGGAGTGCCTGCCTGTTTATCACACTTAATTGTGCTCTTTTCTACCGAGGCCGCTTTAGTAACACACAAACATAAAGGAGATACATCAGCTGCCGCTTTGCAGCCTGTGGAGATCCAATTATTTCTCCATCAGAACACTGTCCATGACAGGGAACGGCTAAACTTAAGTTATGGGTCAACTAGAATGGAAATTTTTTTAGCTTTGGTGTTTTCTCCCCTAGGTCCAAGACAAATTCCTTGTGTGTCCAATTACACTTGGCCAATAAAGAATTCTATCTATCTATCTATCTATCTATCTATCTATCTATCTATCTATCTATCTATCTATCTATCCCAGTTTGGAACAGTTGATAATTTTCCCACAAGCCAACTTAACAAAGCCAGTTAGGAGTGAGGTTTTAGAAAACCTGGCTATCAATCCAAACAGAGACACTCTACAATCCAGGTTGATTTTAGACTATTTTATTGGGACTATGCAAAATATCTTGGAAAGGTGGCTAGTTCTCTCATATTAGGGCTAAGCTGAAACCAGTTTTAAAGTGGGATTAAAGGTTTTTTAAAAGAAAACTTGCTAAATACCCAGCACCCATTGGATCCAAGAATATATATCATCTTCTTTTGATGTCCATCAAGCATCAAGTCCTACCAGATCCCAATTTTTTAAACATCATATCTGGGGGCGGGGGGGGGGGGGAATGCCAACAACCAGGCTGCTGAATCTTACTACTACTTACAGTCATTATTAACTAAACATCAAAATCCTTTATCTAAATAAATGTTATCCAATCTCTTCTTTAAAATGTTATGGAGCATTTACAGCTTCTGGAGGCAAGTTGTTTCACTTGGAAGGGTCCTTGGAGGTCTTCTAGTCCAGCCCCGTGCTCAAGCAGGAAAAACCTGATACTATTTCAGACAATCTCTTCTTAAAAACCCCACAACTTCTGGAGGCAAGACATAGATCTGTGAAATCTTCCTCCACCATGTCCACCCCTCTTGGCGAGATTACATGACTGGTCACCTGCACAGAATTAATCCTGCAGTAATGATACCCTTCTCTTCTCCCTTTTCACTGTTTTGCCTTTTTTTAAAAAAGAAAAAAGAGGAGTGTAATTGGAGAAATTAAAAATAACTCTTTTCCCATGAACACAAAATACTTTTCCTTGTAAGCCACCTACTGCACAAAGATAAATCTTCTGGGCTTTTGAAAGTATGATTGCGGAAGAAAAACCGAGGAAGTGACATTTCCACTCACCTGTAGAAAGGCAAACCGAACAGAGCTTGTCCCCCTCTGGCCACTTTCAGGTAAGAACAATCACATTATTTTACCTTTCCTTGCCATTTCTACCTTATAATTTCTCCCTGCTTCGCTATGGTCTCCACAATTTCTTATCTGTAGCGAAGGAACCTTGAAGAACCTTGATTTTTCCAAGGTCTCTTTCTGGCCAAGTTAGATGTGAATTTGTAAGTGATTGATGCCTTTGGAATAATTCTATGAGAGAGAGTTTTGAAGAGAGGTGAAGGAACGAGCGCTGCCCAACGTTACTAACATGATGGTAGAACATGCCTCATTCATCTCAATGGGTTTGGGCCGCTAGTTGATGAATGACATTCTTGAATAAAATTATTTCCTGGACCCTTCCTGCTGCCGACAGAATCAACACGCACTTCAACATCCAGCTTAGGTGTCCTTTGACATGCTATAGACGTGACGACAAATCCATTTCTCATTTCTTCCTTCCCCGAAGAACCAACTCGTAAAGTACTGTGTGGTCTTCACCATAGGATCCCCTTCAGCCATGAAGATCTTACGCATCAACCACAAGCTGCTGAAGTCCATCTGGAGCAGCAGCAGGACACTTGGTGGATCGGTCCCCCAAGCCGTGAGGCTGTTTACGTCCCTCAATCTTTCCGAGTTTGAAGCCATCAATCGAGGGGACAAAGAAGTGCCGAAATACTTCAATTTTGCCAATGACGTGTTGGATAAATGGTCTACAATTGAAAAGGTAAGGTTCCTTCCAAAGAGTTTTAGGGAAAAGAGGGTTCCTGACTGATGTGCATGTCTCCATATCTCTTTTTTTTTTCTTTAAACAATTGAAGAGAAATGAGACAACATACCAGATGGTCAGCCCCAAATTTTAAGCAAATCATGTAATGGGGTTTTTGGGGGTTTTTTTGTATTAAGAGAAGGGCACTATGGAAGAAAATATTGTTTGGAGCTCCATTCCCAAAGAGAACTGTACTTTGGCAAGTGGAAATTTGGAAATTATAACTATAATTCGCATCTCACCACTTAACCTGATGACCTGCATACATGCTTTTTATTTATTTCACTTATTTTTAATTATTAAATTTGTTTGCTGCCCATCAAGGCAACTCTGCATGGCTTGCAACATTCAAATGAAAGCATAAATCTAGGTATTAATGTATAAAATCACATTAAAATTGTGATAAATAAACTTTTTGTGTGTGTGTCTAGGTGAGATTTCTTTTCTTAGGATAGTTTATCTTAACTTTTTAAATTAAAAATGGTTTATTTGTTTGCATTTTTCTTTTTAGTATTCTTTTTTTCAAGAATATCATGACGTAAGTAATGATAAAAAAAAAGGATAGCACAAAAGATTGTAAACAACTGACACACTGTATGCATATAATTGAAAGAGGGTTTTATGTTTTTATGTTTTGTTTCTATGTTTGTCGTTAAAAATAAAAACTTTGTTTAAAAAAAAGAATATCATAACGTAAGCAAGAAAGAGATTTACAAGAAATATAAATTTGAAAATGTCAGAAGTAACACAAATATTTGTCTATACGTTACAATTTCTGCATCACTTTAGAACTTTAAAACTAAAATAAAATTGGTCTGCGATGAATAACAGCAAAACCCAAGGTGATATAAATTATAAATCAAAATGAGAGATAGTAACAATTTCTATCTCTTTTAAGAATTCTATTCTTGGGGAGAATAGAAGGAGGAGACAAGGAAAATATTCTCTTGTAAGAATGAGAACAAAAAAGGAGAAGAAATAAGAAAATAAAAACAGCTGAATCCTGAAAATCGCTCACTGGAATTTTTTTACATTTCTAAAACATTTATTTCATTTTATTTTAAACATTTTTATAGCAGCTCATCTTCTAACGAACTCTGGGTAGCCTCCCATAGTGAATTTTAAAAACGTATAAAATCATATTAAAACTATAAAACCAAACACATTAAAAACATTAAACTATCCTTCCTCAATCTTCCCCAATCTTCCAGTTGTAACAACATCCAGAAGTCTGAAGTCAACGACGATTCATTCTGGAGGTAAAGTCCACACAGCTGGAAGACAAAACTCTTCTGAATTTTTATATTAGGTCCAGCTGGCTTTTCTCTATTTTCCTTTCTCATTCTAAGACATAACTTTTGGCTGACTATCCCAATGAAGAAACCTTCTCTATTGTCTGGTTGAACCTCCCCAGACTGGCGTTCTTCATACGGTGGTGGAAACCATGAGTATAGTCTCTTTCGATATTGTCTCGCAGGATGGAGGGAGACCTTTTCATCCAGCTTTCTGGTGGATTGATGGAAAAGGAGGAGAAGTCAAATGGGGCTTTGAAAAACTGGGCTTTGTCTCCAGGAAAGCGGCCAATGTACTCACAGGGCCCTGTGGCCTGCAGAGAGGAGACCGAGTGATCCTCATTCTGCCTCGGATCCCAGAGTGGTGGATGCTAACCGTGGCATGTATCAGAACAGGTAAGAAAAAGACCACCTAGGCATAGGAACACCTGTTCAGGTATCTCATAGCAATTGTTTCCACCCTTAAATAATACAATAACAGACTTGGAATGGACCTTGGATGTCTTGAATACCTATTGATGGGCAATGAGTCTAAGAAGAATTGAAATGGTATGGCTGGCTAATTTTAGATTGGTCTTATAAGATTCATAAAGGGCAGGCTTCTTTACATGGACAGGTATATGAGAATATGATCAAGTATGTGGCGCTGTTGTAGAGAAACGCAATGGCTCAGTGGCTAAGACATTCTTGTTTTGAGGGGGGATGGAACAAGGGGACTTTCAAAGCTTCTCACGAATGGGCAACATTGTAAGAACATCCTCAAAGTTGATGTATTTATTGAACTTGTCAGGGATCACCTTCATCCCGGGGACTCCACAGCTGACAGCCAAAGATATCCAGTACAGGCTCCAGGTATCCAAAGCTAAAGGCATCATCACAAATGATTCATTGGCCCCCGTGGTGGAGACTGTCTCTTCGTCATGTCCTTCTCTGCAAACCAAGGTGTTGGTCTCCGAGAGCAGGCGAGAAGGATGGCAACATTTCAAGGCGTTGTTTGAGTAAGGCACAATAAATAACAGATGAACAGAGAATTGGAAGGGACCTTATAGGTCATCTAGTTCAACCCCCACCCCCCCACCCAAGCTGGAGACCCTACACCATTTCTGAGAGATGGCAGTCCAGTCTTTTCTTGAAAGCCTCCAACGATGAAGCTCCCGCAACCTCTGAATAGCACACACCATTGCACAGAATGGATAGGAAGTCTGCTAGGGTGAGAAGGCACTCAGTACCCGTAGCCTTTTAGAACTCATTTTGGCTAAATGACCATCCAGAAGGACAAATGCAACAAAGCTGCAAACTGAGATGGCCAGACACTTTGAAATTGGGAACCACTTTAATTTCTGAGCTTTTTTCTTTTTAAAAAAAATCCCCATTTTCCCCAACTGTGTCTGGTTCTCAACAAGTCCCTGCAATTTTCTGGGCAAGGTTTTTTGGGGGGAAGTGGTTTGGCATTGCCTGTTTTTTTCCCCCAGAGCTGAGAGAGAGTGGTTGGCTCAAGATCACCCAGCTGGCTTTATGCCTCAGGCAAAACTAGAATTTAGGGCCTCCTGGTTGCTATAATCTGTTGCCTTAATCACCGCACCAAACTGGGTCCCTAAACTGAAGATAGATCTCCTTCACTTCTTTAAGAAAGAATGGGATAGAATCTAACAAAACAAAGATCAAAAGATTACTCTAGAATACGATGATTGATGGACTACATGCCATCCATTCCTTGTTGTCTCTTAGCACCTACATGGATAGATTTTTCTCCAGGGTGGTCTGTTCCTTGACTTCTTCCAATGGTGGCCACATTGTTGCTGTAACTGAGTTTCTCCATTTTGTTCGTGGTTGCCTTCTTCTCTTTCCTTCCACCTTTCCCACCAGCAGAATCTTCTCCATACAGAGTTGGGTCTTTGCATAATGCGTCCAAGGCAGGATCATTTGAACCTGGGAGTGTCATGAGAAATAGAGAAGTAGATCTGGTAAGGGTAGATAAGCTCTGAGAAGGGGCGGGTGAGAATGTTACATGGGAGTCTACATCATACTCCAGAAATCATCTTAACTGTTCAAAACAATTTTGGAAGATTTGTGATCTGCAGTTGTTTCTGTCCCTCTTGGAGTTCAGCTTCTCCATGCAATGGTGAGCGATCGAAATATAAAATTGTGAATTAAACGTTAAAGGTAGCAATTTTGTAAAGCAAATCTACTTCCCGGAGGGAGAAAAACAAGCTATAACAGACACTCTTGGCGGTGGTGCTTTTTAAATATTGTGAAAATAAAACAGGCAGGTGCTTAAAACCAATCACAGAGATCCTTTGAATTTCTGAGTGCCATTTTCCACCATCATTATAGGTCAGAGAGGCATTTAAGTCTGCAAATGAAACACCTACCTGGGAATAATTTTCAACACACTCAGCGAGGTTTTCTTTCCAGTCAACACACATTAGACTCCGCTCTAATTTCTGACAGATAATTACATTTCTCAGGCAGGGAATACAACAGAGAACCCTGAGAAGGTCAACACTGAAAATAAAACATCCCTCTAGGAGTGGTGCGATCAGTTAACTAATTAATCTTGGTGATCAATTTTTGATTATTTTAAGTGAAAAGGATGAAGCTTCTTTCTGTTCACAGCTGATGTCCTTCCTTGGGTCTCTTTCAGGGCAGCTCCTTCCAGCCACAACTGTGTTCAAACCCAGAGTGATGAACCAATGGTTATATTCTTCACAAGTGGAACCACAGGTTCCCCAAAGATGGCTGAACACTCTCAAACCAGCTTAGCCTTGGGCTTAACTCTATCGGGAAGGTATCTTTCTTAATTTTCTTACACATCTTGAACTTGACCACAGTCAACCAGAATTCAGTCTATTCCATCTCTTGGAGTTTCATGTAAGGCCTTTGGAGATGTGACGGCCCCAGAGGACAACCACAAAGAACTGAGGACATCTTGAACCCTGTAGAAAAAAACCCTGTAGAAAATTTAAGGTCACCTAAAATTGAGGTGAGATCTTGTTTGTCTGAAGGTAATCCAGAATCCCATCTAAAATGTCTGTGTCTTGCAGGGATTGGCTGGACTTCAAACCTTCAGATGTCATGTGGAACATGTCCGATACTGGTTGGGTGAAGGGGTCTATGGGAGGTGTCTTTGGCCCTTGGCTTCGCGGAACCAGTGTCTTCGTACACAGCATGCCACAGTTTGACCCAAAGGAAGTTCTAAAAGTAAGAATTATACATCCAAATCATTGGGGGAATGTATTTCGACCACTCAACATGGTAGACTCAACAGCTAGCTCCCTCCTTGGTCCATCTGTCTGCTGGTTTAGACAGGAACACAATGCTGTATTTTGGCAGCTTAGAACCAACTTCCAGAGGTGGTAGTTGTTCCATATTGACAGACTTGTAACCCAACGTTCCCATTGGTCCGCTATAGCCGCTACCTGATTGGACAACCAGGGCGGCTGTGATTGGCTCGCTAAGAGTCTGCCGCGATTGGTCAAAACCAAGCGCGGGAGACTTAAAGCGATGCCATTGGCCGCTAAAGCCCCAGCAAGCTCTATAAAAGAGCCGCCGCGGCTGCTATTCTTTTGAGCTGGTTTTAGCCAATGAATAAAGAGCTGCTGTTACTGAACTGAAGTCTCTCGTCTTTATGAGCCCGACCTTCCAAACTTAACAGTAGTGGGTTAACCATCCATTATTGATTTTAAAGATGGTTTGGGATTAACACAGGTCCATCATCCAACAAAAATTTAAAAACATAAAATAAAATAAAAAACTCAAAGGACAGACTCAATGGATCATGAGGTCTTTTTTTTCTGCCATCAGTTTTCAATGTTTCTATGTTTTATGAACCCAAATGAGCAGTGGTGTCAGTAGATGATTTGGTATTTAGTGGGTCAGGCTAGGTAAGATACCTAGGAATTCCTGGCTCTGAATGAACCCATCCTTTCACCATTATCCCTGCTCTATAGTTCTCATTTCTTCTTGACTTTCCAACTCCCAATATGCCTTGCCTTTCACTAGGCTGGATTTGTATCCAAAGTGCTTTTTGAAAAGGCCCTGTTTTTCCTTGAAGACATTTCCTTCCTCATCTCAGAAGCTTCATCGGTTCTGGCAGGATGGTGAGAGGAGATAGAAGGGTGAAGCTTCTCGGATGAGAAGCGAAAGGTCTTCAAGGAAAAAAAAAAACCCAAGAAAATCCAGTTGCCTTTTGAAAAAAATGAGACAGCCGTGACCTGGATGACTGAGAATCTCCGTTGACATGCTGGATTTGTAGATTATTATTGTTGTTGTTGTTATTTTATTCATTAAACATGAAACTCAGTCAACTGAACATTTAAAAATGTATCACAAGTATCACTGACTGGCACTGATGGCTGATATGGGTTGCTACCAGCATCCTAGGTATCAACCAAGTATCTAATAATAATAATAATAATAATAATAATAATAATAATAATAATAATAATAGTAGTAGTAGTAGTAGTAATAATAATAATCTTCATCATCACTAAATTCATTTGCCACGTATCTCAACATGGGCTACTCCAGATCAGCAAAATCTAGAAGATAATAGGTTCGCCAACCTTTAACCCAGGAAGAGCTTTAAGGAAAGAGGAAGATGCAATTCCATTATTTTCATATCCTTTTCTTCCTCCTTTCCTTTTTTCCTCTCTCTAGACACTTTCCAGGTACCCAGTGACGACCTTGTGCACTGCTCCAACAGCCTACCGCATGCTGGTGCAGCAGGACCTTAGCAGGTAGCTGGTTATCAGTTAACCCATCTGTATACTTGATTGATTGGTTGGTTGGTTGGTTGGTTGGTCGGTCAACGGTGAGGCCAAAGGAATCTGTAATACTAAAACCTTCAGAGAGGTTGCTGCCTACTGGAAGTTATCAATACAGGAAAGAGAGCTTAGCTTGTTCTCTTCTAGGTCGGTAGACATCCTCCTTGCAACTTTATACAGATGGTCTTCAAGTTACAACAGTTCATTTAGTGACTGTTCGAAGTCACGAAAGCACTGAAAAAAGTGACTTACGACCGCTTCTTACACTTATACTTGTGGCATCCTCAAGGTCATGTGATCAAAATTCAGATGCTTGGCAACTGACTCATATTGATGATAGTTGCAGAGCTACTGGGTCACGTTTTGCAACCTTCTGATAAGCAAACTCAAGGGGGAAGCCAAGTTTCACTTAACAACCGTGTTACTAACTTCACGACCACACTGATTCGCTTAACAACTGCGGCGAGAAAGGCCATCAAATGGGGCAAAACTCACATAACAAATGTCTCACTTAGTGACAGAAAACTGGGGGCTTAATGGTGGTCATAAGCTGAGAACACCTACATACAACATTTCTGTCAGAAAATTTCATGAGTCCTCCCTTTGTCTCTCTTCGGGAAAATGTAAATTGCCGTTTGTACCAATGATTTATTTTTCCCCTTCTGCATTTTTGTTTTATGTTGAGTTTCTTTTTTAACTGAGAAAGATGAGTATCACTTAATCCAGTCTAAAAACAAACCGTGTATGTATGTATGTGTGTATGTATGTATGTATGTATGTATGTATATATGTATGTATCTTCCTCTCTCATTCACTTTCTTAATTTATGTTTGTATTTTATTTGATGGTAAACTTTAATTTAAAAAAAAATATCTAAAGTGAAAAGTGAAATACAGACCCAGACAGACAAGAGGCAAAAGTTCCAATCAGCTAAAATCTGCAGGACAGACTCTTAGTACACACAGCGTTGTCTAGCAACACTACCTAAGGATGTTTCTCATTAGAATTTGCAATCAGCCATTACACCCTGTCAATAAAGAAGAATATTTGCAGCTCATCCAGTATGGATGATGTTACCTAGTTGGGTAATGAAATGTCTGCAAGAAAACCACCAAGCTCAGAGAGCACCAAGCACCCCCTCATTACACCCTGCTTAATGATAGAGGCTCTGAATAACTATAGAAACCAGTCTCTTTCTTCTTTTTCTCTGCATAAAGCTACACATTCAAGAGCCTGTCTCACTGTTCGACCGGTGGAGAACCAATGAACCCGGAAGTGGTGTCACAATGGAAAAAACAGACGGGGTTGCAACTCTACGAAGGCTATGGACAAACTGAAGTCGTATGTGCATGTACATAAAAGTTCCTTTCTCTTAACCAGGATAGCTAAGGACCCAGTAGCTAAAGATGGTTAAATTTAGGACTGAGATATTATTGATGTTGTTGTTTTTAACAGCTGGGTGTGAATGCACCCCCATCTTACTCATTCACTATTCAGGGTATTGTCTGAACCAAGAAACTGAGTAAATTAATAAGCAGAGACAGTTAGTGGTATGACTCTCCAACTATAGGGGAGAGGCATCAGCTGAAGGCCCTGGAGCTGCATGGTAAAAAAATATAATTTGGAAACCCACTCAGGGTATCATGCAAAAGATTGTGTTTTCTATCACAGAATGGTATTCAAAGACTGGGAATGCTCATTGAAGGTACAGATATTTTATTAGTCCGAATAGCACTAGCGCGTGGACTTATATACCACTTCGCAGTGCTTTTACAGCCCTCTCTAAACAGTTTACAGAGTCAGCCTCTTGCCCCCAACAATCTGGGCCCTCATTTTACCAACCTTGGAAGGAGGGAAGGCTGAGTCAAACTTAAGCCCCATCAGAATCGAACTCCTGGCAGTGGGCAGAATCAGCCTGAAATTCTGCATTCTAACCACTGTGCCACCACAGCTTGTTTCCTTCCTTCCTTCCTTCCTTTCTTCCTTCCTTCCTTCCGTCCTTGCTTCTTTCCTTCCTTCCTTCCTTCGCAAGCAGTAGCAAACTTATATACCGCTTCACAGTGCTTTTACGGCCCTCTCTAAGCAGCTTACAGAGTCAGCCTTTTGCCCCCAACAATCTGGGTCCTCATTTTATTGACCACGAAAGGATGGAAATGTCCAAAAGAAGGGGAATTCCAGGAGTATTCGAAATTGTTTGCTGCAGGGGATGATAACAGCCAACCAGAAGGGGAAACCAGTTAAACTGGGCTCCATGGGGACCGCGGCTCCACCTTACGAAGTTCAGGTAAGGACCATTCACCTGGCTCAGGTGAGTTCAAGGTTGGAAGGTCTACTTTTAGCAGGGAAGGAAAATATGTGGGAGGAGGTGGCTTTTCTTTTCGGCCTCTCCATCAACTACAACTGATAGCAAGCAAACAATTATAAGTAGACCCCAGGGCCAATCTGAGATAAATGAATAAAAAATGAAAAAAATAGTTGAGATTAAGGTGGGAGGCCCACTTCTTGCCCCAAAAAATGACATGGAATGAGCTCCCCAAAGTGAGCTGGAATTTTACGCCTTTGCTTTTCCTTAACCTTAGCACTTCCTTCCTCTTCCTTGCTGCTTCCTAGATTGTAGATGAAGATGGCAAGATTTTGCCCCATGGACAAGAAGGAGACATCGCTATCAGGATAAAACCCAAGCGTCCCTTTAGCTTCTTCTCTCACTACGTGGTAAGCAAGGAATCAGGAAGTCCTCCCTCCGTCCATCAGGAAGTTCAGTGAAGGCAGTGGGACTGCAATCTAATGCAATCCTAAATTGCATAATGCAAATAACACAATCCTAAATTGCATTAACAGAGGGATACAATCCAGATCAAGGGAGGTACTAATACCACTCTATAAAGCCACACCTAGAGCATCCAGTTTTGGTCACCACACCATAAAAAAGATGTCGAGACTCTAGAAAAAGTGCAGAGAAGAGCAACCAGGATGATTAGGGGACTGGAGACTAAAACATACGATGAACGGTTGCAGGAACTGGGCCTGGCTAGTCTAGTGAAGAGAAGGACCAGGGGAGACATGATGGCATCTTCCAATATTTGAGGTGCTGCCACAGAGAGGAGGAAGGGGGTCAAGCTATTTTCCAAACCGCCTGTAGGCCGGACAAGGAACAATGGATGGAAGCTGAACAAGGAGAGATTCAACCTGGAAATAAGGAGGAATTTTCTGACAGGGAGAACAATCAACCCAATGGAACAGAAGCTACCTTTGGAAGTTGTGGGAGTGCCATCACTTGAGACTTTCAAGAAGAGATTGGACTCCCATCTGTCAGAAATGGTGTAGGGTCTCCTGCTTGGGCAGGGGGTTGGACTAGATGACCTACAAGGTCCCTTCTGATTCTGATTATCTGTTATCGGATTGTTATTTGTATCTTTCCTCATTGCACAGAAATGGTGGCAACATTCTGGAGACCATCATATGGAGGAGAGTTGCTGTCAACGCATGGGCAGTAGGCAATGCTGCATGCAAGACCCTACTTTCCATTCATGATCCTTTCCATTCATTCATGATCAGCATCTTGCAACGGGGTTCCTCAAAGGCAGTGACATAATTTTTAGAGAGAGGGCAAATTCTCCTGATTTCTTTGTCAACGTGAAGGTTGCAAATGAGTGGTGTGGTGGCCTAGAGATGTTGCTCTCGTCTCGCATTCAGGAGGTTCTGGGTTCGATCCTAGCTAGAGACAGATATTTCTCTCTCGGGGCACACTGAGAATATATCTGCTGAAAAAAACCTCTGCATTGGCGACAGGGAGGGCATCCAGCCAGTAAATTCCATTCAGTTGCCCAGGCTCCACCCCACAAGGGATTATGGGATCGTTAAAAGAGGGTGATGAAGGTCATAAATGGAAGGAGAAGGTCCCTGGTTAAACTGCATTGCTTTGAAGTTCCTGGGAATTGCAGAACATAGTTTAAAATCGTGCCAGCAGAATCCATCATCCATGTCGTTTTGTTAATGTCCAGGACAACCCAGAAAAAAACTCAGCAGTTGTCCGGGGAAACTTTTACATCACCGGTGACCGAGGCTGGATGGATGAAGATGGCTATTTCTGGTTTGTGGGAAGGTCTGATGATGTCATCATCTCCTCAGGGTTGGTCCATCTCAATATACGTTAAAACATGTGGGATGGTGAGAAAGCATCCCAAAATCATTGTTAGAATCATCTGGGTCAGGACCAACTTGGTCTGGAAAGGCCCTTCTCTTGATCATTGATTTCATTCAGATCTCAGTGTTGGCCAAGTCCAACTCTAGTTGGTGTGGTTTCTACAAAACTCCACCAGGCTGGTCAAAATCAAGGAACCCAGAATTAAAGATCCAACAGAATTGAGGATAAAGAAAGAATCTTGGAAAGGATACAGGAATTGCCAGTCCTGGTTTATTATTGATTTCATTAAACTTCATTATTAACCTCATTATTAAAATATGAAAGTTAGGATAATAAATACATTAAAGTGGAGTCTTTTTGATGATGTGAAATATTTCTTTTCAGTTCCTTGTTGCTACCTAGACTGAGTTGCTAAGATGATCCGCTAACAGCCTCCAAACTTTTGATTTTATATTTCTCATATTCGTTCATTCCTTCTTCAACTTTTAAAAAAAATTTCCAATCCTGATTTAGGGATCTCTTTTTCCCATCTAAGTAGATCCAATCTTGCTCAACTTTTTGAACTAAGACAAGATCAGCTAAGGAGCAGTGCCCAAACACTAGGCAATTGAATTGTAATTATATTTAGATATACACATTTGAGGTTTGTTCTGGGTTCCATTTGCCAAATGCCACACCTACACCCAAAGTCCTACATTCCATTTAGTGACAATAATTTGGTTCCTTCTTCCCCAGATACCGCATTGGGCCTTTTGAAGTAGAAAGTGCTTTGATTGAGCATCCAGCAGTAGTTGAATCAGCCGTGGTCAGCAGTCCGGATATAGTCCGACGGGAGGTAACAAAGCTTTTCTATAAATCTGCACATTAATTGCAGATTTAAGGAGGTTTTTAAGAAGAGATTGGACAACCATTTGTCTGAAGTAGTATAACGTTTCCTGCCAGAGCAGGGGGTTGGACTAGAAGACCTGCAACTCTTGTTATTCTGTTCTTCCTGTTTAGGTGCTGCTAGAAAAAGTTGGATGCAGACGTATCGTTTCTGCTGATTTAATTGTAATAGGTGCCTGTTTAGAGTCTTTAATTGCATGTGTGATTAAAAAAGATCAGCCATTCAGGTATTCAGACAACCGGAGACACGTGAACAATACATAAGAGCTTTATTGTGAAGCTTTTGCAAAAGGGAATTCTGCGCTTTTGGCTGCAGAAGACATGGTTCCCAGAAGGTTGGGGTTTATATACAGGTTCAAATATACAGTCTCTGCCCCTTTTCCGGGTTCACAATCTATCCAGTTATGTATCTTCCTGTGCAACACCCTTATTATTGTAGCATAACGTCTGTTTTCTTAACCTGTTTACCCACTTCCAGTAATCTCCATCATTAACATGTCACTGCACAACATGACCTGACAAATATATAACCTTTATACAAAACAAGAGAATTCTTACATAATATTCCAGGAAATATATCTTAGGTTAACACAGAGGTTAAAAATGGTGTTATCATTGCGTTATATTTTCACAGATATTATTTTACATATCACAGCATGACACCTGGTATTTGCTTGACAAACTGTGCAAACCAAATATTGTGGTTTGCAAAACATGGCTGATTGTGAATGAACCCAAAGGGGACTGATTCAGAAAGTTACGGTTAAGGAAGCCACTACTTAACCTGTGGCAGAAATAGAGCCTTAGTTTTTTTTCTTTATCATCGTGTAAATATATGTTTAATATGTTGCAACCGTCATAGTGATGGCATCTCTGTGCCACAAACCAAGGTTGTTTGTTGATGGACATCTTTTGGGTCATCACTTTCCCTTCTCTTAGTTCTTTACTTTAAACCAGGATTAGACAAGACTCCATTTTGTAACGACCACAACACAAATATTTGAAATAAATCCCCAGGAGACAAATGTCTTCTTTTCAATCCCAATATATATCCTATGTGTCAACTCATAAAACATTCCTATGCCTGTTTTAGTAGTTGCCATAAAAAGGGATGGAGGGGAGAGGAAGGAAATATGGAAGAGCGGTGCAGTAGTTGGAAAGCGAAAGTACATTCCAACTCTTTATCTTTAAAAGACTGTAACTAAACAGAGCTTTTGCTCACAAATGTATTTAATTGGAGAATGTGAATGATGACAACCAGCCCGTGAAGGTGCTCAATTGGAGAATATGATTTATGACACAACCAGGGGGGAGGCGGGGAAACAGGGTTATAGGGGACTGTAAATTATGTATGCCAGAGTTGGCTTCATACAGGGCAGGGCCAGAATGTCGCTTCTAATAAATCCTTGGAAATGGCTCGAGAATCATGATTTAATTAGGGCAATTGCTGGAATCCTGACACTATGTCAGACTTCTCTCGACAAATTGAAGTGGAAATAGGCCCAACAAGTTTTCGAGCATGCAAGAATCCCTCGTAAGTACAGTATATTGATTCCAGAAAAGTTAATGAAGCCATGAGGAAAGAATCCCAGGGATTGCCGAGTTTCAAACACGGGCCCTATTTATAGTGGAATCAAGATCTCGCGCTTCTTTCTCCAGTCTGCATGGTATGTGTTGAGTTTCGAAGTCTCACTCTTTGAGGTGGGAGGGGAATTTTCCACCTGCCGTTTAGTTTTCATTTAAAAAAACAACCCTGCCTGCTTTTCGTCGGACCTCTTGATCAGGAGCTACTGTGAATGGTTTTGTTTTCCAGGTGGTAAAAGCATTTGTGGTTTTGTCTCCTGAGTTCGCATCGCACAACCCAGAGAAATTAACTCGGGAGCTGCAAGACCACGTCAAGAAAGTGACAGCGCCATACAAGTATCCCAGAAAGGTGAGTGTTATAACTAGGTAGGTGTTGAATTATTCAGAAGCCTGAGGTGATAACAGAATATCAGAGTTGGAAGGCACCTTGGAGGTCTTCAAGTCCACCCCACTGCTCAAACAGGAAACCCTATACTATTTCAGACAAGTGGTTGTCCAATCTCTTCCTAAAAGCCTCCAATGATGGACCACACACAATTTCTGGAGGCAAGCAGTTCCACTGGTTAATTTCTCCTTAGTTCTAGGTTGCTTCTCTCCTTG